CTTCTCTCTATATCATGGTAATTTATATATATGTTTGTATATGTGATTGATTGTTAGGGTTTAATTTGATTTGATTATGATGAGATCTATGTAAATGGTTTAGATCGGAATTTGTGGTGGTATGGCAGGTAATCTCCGACCTCTTCACTATCGGTGACCAAACTATCGCCACTCTTAGAAAAAGATGAAGAGAGTCAGTAAGAGGTTAGGGTTTGGAACTAAAATGTGTGCGTGTGTGTGTGCGCGCGCGCATGTGAGAGAGAGAGAGAGAGAGAGAGAGAGAGAGAGAGAGAGAGTGTGTGTGTGTGTGTGTGTGTAACAACCCCAACCCATGATTAACGTTAATCCATGCTTAATTATGCCTAATAGATAATTAAAGTGAAATTTTACATCATATGTTGCCTTATGTGTGTTTATATCTGTTTAATGTAGAAATATCTATTCATGTTTTCGTTTCGGTTTGCAAATTGAAAGCCTTATCGACATCCGATTCAGAAATTAACTTGATTTATGTATTATTTGGGAATTATGGAAAATTATGGTAGGTTTAATTAAAATTCGGTTCAGAATGATTAAATTAGATTAATTTAATGCCCACTTGATTAGCTTTAATTAACTCTCATTAGGCAAGCCTATCTAAGGCTTCTTATGTACTCCCACTCATTCTTTTCTCTCATATCAACACATTTTCAGCTCACATACACACACACAAACGTGTATAGAGAGAGAGAGAGAGAGAGAGAGAGAAGCTAGGGAGAAGTCCTCAAGTAAGGAATTTGCTAGAGAATTAAGGAGAATTGAAGAAATTGAGCAAGAACTCCCTAGGATTCAAGGAGTTGAGAACTTAAGGTATGAAATCAAGCCTTTAGTTGTGTAATTAGGGTGCTTAACTCATCCATTCAAAAAGAATTAAGTGAGTTGGGGCAAGAATTAAGCTTAATGACGTAGAAGAGAAGAGTATACACACATGCATGTGCATTACATTGCATATAGAGCATGTTGTCTAAGAATTTGTCCCATGCATGTTCATATTTTGGTTGTAGTCTAAGAATTCATCATGTTTTTTAGTAGAATATCTCATTTGATCATGTTTTGGAAGTTATGAACTCAAATGAATACATGCATGACATGTTCATATCATGTTCTACATTTTCAAGTTAAATATTGCACAATTGACATACTTTTGGGCCTTGATTTCATGAAATGATCTTTAAACCTTCATATTTTACAAGTTTATATATGTTGTCTCAAGTTTTGGGTCCAAAAGGATGTGAATTGTAGCCTTGGATTTGAATTTGGAGCTGAAAAGAGCAATATGGAAATCCCAGATTTTGCCTCTCCGCTTAAGCTACCACTCTGTGATCTTGCACTTTCTCTCGAGCGACCAAAAGTCCGCTCAAGCATGAAATGCATGCTCTCAGAAGTTCTTGGGTATGTTTGGTTTGAGTTTTAGAGATGAGTTTTAGAAAAAAATTTCCAAAAAATTATTTGGTTTGAGATTTTTCTCAAAAAATTTCCAAAATCACTTTCTCTCTCTTACACATCAATCAATCACTTTTTCTTTCTCCTCTCTCATTTTCAATAACTTTTTCTCTCACACACATCTACTCAATTACAACAAAATATCAAATCATCCTAAACTCCCAAACTCCAAAACAACTTTCAAAATATACAACCAAACAAACCAAAAAAATTTCTAAAACAACTCTCCTAATTTTTTTTCAAAAACAACTCTCCCAAAAACAAACCAAACAAGCTTTTGCAGTCCACTCGAGTGACAAAAGTTGCGCTCGAACGAGGGCATGTCTCTCACACTCGAGCGAGTGTCGAGAGAGCATCGAGCAGAAAAATCAAGTAACTAGCACTTTTGCAAAAGTTTATAGACCGCTCAAGCGACAGATCTTGCGCTTGAGCGATCACTCACATTTTGCTTGTTCGTTTGAGCGTAGAAAGTTATGCTCGAGCGAAGACTCTGTTTTCATCAAGTTTTGTCAAGTGTTTTCAAGTGCATTTTTGCATCCTCATTCCATCCTAGGCATACCTAGGCCAAGATTAAGGCACAACAATGAAGACAAATGTAGAGACACACCAAGTTAAGAAAAGAACAAGGTAAATGTTTCCGGGTGTATAATTCAGTTTATATTCGTTTTGTACCTGTGTATGTCACGCGTCACAAGATATTTGAATTGCCTATTCAATTCGTCTGTTTGGAGCCATTTGTTATTTGTGAGTAATAACTTTGTAAAGTTATGTTAAACTTTACCTATTTTCTGATGATTCGACATGATTAGTTTCTGAAATGCAAAGTTTTGTGTGAATGAATGATCGTCCAAGTTTCTGAAATGTATCTGTGGCATCCTTAACATCTTATGATATGTGTCCCTTTGTGGGTCATCAGGTTCCTTTATGGGTTATTGGAATGCTTTATGGCCGTCTTTTTTATGTGGGTCATCAGAATGCCTTCACGACTATCCCTTTGTGGGTCATCGGATTTGTTAACGCTAATGGATGTGCCACGTACTATGACGTGAACTGTATGAACTTTGAAAATGAATATGAAGAAGTACATGAATCTGTTTCTGATTTGAGATCTGAATATGCATAAGACTCTGTTTCTGATACAAACTCTAATTTCTAATTCTATGATGGACATTATTTATTAAAACCCCTTTATTTTGTTATTATTCACTAGGCTCCTGTTCATATTTATATTTTATATGTAGGTGACCAGCCGCGCGCCCAGGTTTAAGATGATGCCAGAAAAGTTTTGTGTTTGTCAGCCACTCTTTATGCCTCTCGAAGAGGTTCCAGATCATGTCAATCCTGTGGCTATGTTTTTGTATTTAAGACTTTGGTTCTTTTATTTTAACTTTGGACAAATTTCTACTTATATGTATAGTACTTGGAGTGATGTGTATCAACTGTATCTTTTGACGTCACACATATCTTTATTAAAGTTTAAGAATAACTGTCTCATGTATGTCTTCACAGCTTAATAGATTATGTATATTTCTGTTTATTGCTTCTGTAGTCCCTAATTATATGCTATTCTGTTAAGAGGCCATCGGTAATTTAAGGGTTACTAGCTGGTTACGATGCTAAACCTATAGGGGCGGGTTTGGGTCGTGAGAAAGAGAGAGAGAGAGAGAGAGAGAGAGAGAGAGAGAGAGAATGGTTGGGTACAGAAGAAGACGAAGAACAACTAAAGCATTTGAGTCGAGATTGATTGATGATAATGATGATCCATGAGAGTTCGATGCATCAGAGGACTTAAATAAAGATTTCTTTTTTTTTTCTTCTATCTTGGCTCAAATCATTTTTTTTTCTTTTATCTTGGCTCAAATCATTTTTTTTTCTTTTATCTTAGCTCAAATCATTTTTTTTTGGGTTGTTGTTGTTGTTGTTGATGATGATGATGAATAAACAGATTGCAACAAATTAAAAAAAAAAAAGACAAATAGGACAAATCTGTTCAAATTTTGAACAGATAAGACAATAGGATAGATTTGTTCAAAATTTGAATAGATAATAAAATATATTTAAAATTTGAACAGATAAAAAATTAAAAAGATACAAAATTTTAATTGACAAAATATTTGACTAGATAAGTGAAAAAATTGAACACATAATAAAATTTGAACATATATTTTAATAGATAAGGAATTTTAGTAGATAGATATTCCAAAAGATAGATAAGTTACAATGATAATTTTAATAGATAAAGAGAGAAAAGAGAGGTGTAAAAGTTCAACAAATGAGGTGGTAAAATTCAACAAATAACAAATTTTTAAATAGATAAGGGAAAAAATTTAACTGATAGTCAAAAAATTTGAATCGATAGAAATAAATTTGAACAGATAGAAAAAAAAAAATTGAACAAATAAATATAGGGTAAATTACACTTACACCCCCTGAGATTTAGGTTTAATACATATCACCCTCTGACGTTCAGATAATTACACTAACCTTTATATCATTGTACTTTTTTAGACGAAATGAAAATATTGAACTTATACACTTTCTCTTTTCTTACCTTGCTTTACTTCCTCTGTTTTTTTTTCTTTTTCATCTTTTACTTCAAAAAAAAAAAAAAGAAATCTCTCTGTTTTTCTAGTAGGAGTTGTTGCCTTTTATATAAGTAAGGGGTTTGTGAAATGGATTATTAACCACAGAGGTGAGAATGTAATTTTTAAAACTTTAGGAGATGAGATGTAATTGAACTAAATCTCAATGAGTGTCAGTGTAATTTACCCATAAATATAAATTTGAACAAATAGTAAAAAAAAAGTTAACAGATAAAAAAATAACAGATAAATTAAGGTGTAAAATTAAAAATAAAATGTCTTCTAAAATAAATAAAAGGACTTCTCACCAATCTCTCAGTAACAAAAAAATATTTATTGAATTTAATGTCTTAGTTTAAACATTTTAATAATTTTCTCTTTAAGAATTGATTATTTTTATTTTTTATAAATATATATATATATATATATGAAAGTGATGTAATAATTTGTAGTAAATTTTGTTTTATTTTACTCTTTTTTTTGGGTTACTATTTTAACTACCTTTCTACAAGCCAAACGCTATTAAGTAGGTTGGCCCCCTCTGTTTTTCCACCTGATCTCTGACCTGAGTACACACTGCCAAGCTCCCCCACAACTTCTTTTTCTGTCCTTCCTTCTTTTTTATTTTTTTTAATTTATTTCATTCTCTCTCCGCACAAATATGTACATAGATATATGTATGTATATTTTAACCCAAAAAAAGAAGAAGATATATGTATGTATATGTATCCGTACATCTGCCTATGGTGCAGTCCCTTTCAGACTCTAAAAAGCAAAAGAAAAGAAGAAGAGGGAAAAAGAAAGAGAAAACATTATACAGAAATAAAGGATTCTATTTTTATTTATTTTATTTTGATTTGGGTGTGATTCTAATCTTTGTTTTGTTTGGTTTTACAACTTTTTACTTTAACCTTCCCTACTAGATGATGGGATAATGATGTGCCCAACTTCAACAGCATATCCTCACTCAACACCCACAGAGACAGAGAGAGAGAGAGGAGACACCTCTTTTTATCCCACATTCTGATAATTGGTTCCAGTTGGGTTTGCAGTGAAACCAACTGGGTTCCATCCATTTTCTGTTAACGATAAGTTTTCTTTCAGGAAAGTTTTGATCTTTGATTCTTCTTTCAGTTCTACAGAGCTTCTGCGTGAGGTAAAAAGAAATAGGGTATAGAAAAATACCATTTTTTTTTCTGTGTCATTGATGATTCCCTTACAGCTTGCCAAAATAGCAACTGGGTACGAACCAGTTTGTTGTTTGGCATGATTTGCTTTCCCTTGTGTCCTCCAAAAGAGGGGTGGTCTTGATGGCTTTTCTGTGTTTTTCACAGTGAGAAAGAAGGGTCATAGCATTTGAAGAGTTAAACACATCATTTGGTGAGTAATTGAAGCTTAGTTTGCTGAGAAATCAACTGGGGTTTTCTCAACTTTTCATTTTTGTTCAATCTTTACCAATGGGTTTTCTGAAGTTCTGTTTTTGGTTTGTCTTGTGAGCTAGGTTTCATGAAGAATCAACTGGGTGGCAAACTATTTTGACCCTCTAGTTCAATCTTCCTAGCTGATGATGCCACCTAAATGTTGATTTTGTTGAAATTTGGGAGCTGGACTTGGTGAAGAATCAACTAGATTTCAAACAATTGTAGTTTATGGTTGAAACTCCATATTGGGTCTCCCTCAGGCTTAAATTTGATGACCTTTTCTGCTCTTTCTGGTGTTTCTTTTAACCTTTCAAGGCTCTTTTTGAGGTTATGTAGGTGGATTCTAGTTAAGATGTCTTTGAATTGCAAGTGCTCTGCCTCTAAGCAGAAAATGGGAACCAATTTCAAGCTGAAGAAGGCAAAGGAATCTTTGCATGGATCTAACAGAGCCTGGAAGTGGAGTAGACATCTTCTGTTTCTATGGCTTTTTGGTGTTTTCATTTGGTTTATTGGGTTCTTCTATGGTTTGAATGATGGGGCTTCGAGGACAAAGGAGGAGACTCTAGACTTGTGTCAACAACACAAAGCTAGGATTTTGCTAGAACATTTCAATGTCAGCAACCAACTTCATCAATCAGATCAGGTGCTGTCTTTATATCTATCTAAAAGATTTGCTTCTTAAATAGCTCCACTCTTTCTGTTTGTAGTTTTAAGTAACTTTTGTTGATAATAACTGTTTATGTTAATTAATACTTGAGTTGGTTAGGAAGTTTGAGTGAACAGAGAAAGTGATACAGAATAGGATTACAGTTGTTTCTTGCTACATCTTTAACAGGATTATAGTTGCTTAGTTCTAGATTTTTAACAAATGGTGGTCGCCTCGGCAGAATTTTGCTACTGTGGATTCTGAGTGTACATATAGAAATGAAATATGAACGAATTTTAATGATGGAAGCTGCAATTGGTTTTCAGTGAAGTGACCATTTCTATTATTTCAAATTTTGGATAATTGAGTGAATAATCTTTCTCAAGGAAATGTCTCTTGCCTATTTTGATTCAAACTACAGTGAAAATAGTAAGAAGTGAAATAAGGATACTAATGCAAAGAAAGTCATTAATTGAAGCTGTGAGTAGTTGGTTTCTAATTAAATAATTTTCCTGTTCTTTTTTATTTTCTCTGTCCTAGCCATTGAAACAGAATTAGGTGTTCGCTATGTTATTTTTATCCTTATCGAAGGTTGGTTGGTTCAACTTTACTACATGAATGTCCATGCTCTAATATCAAATGTTTAGAATAATCTGATAATAAGTCAAATAGTGTGGGTTTTCCCCCTTTTACTAATAGAAAAAATCTCAATTATTATAAAAAAACAAACATGAAATACTAGAACTTTTACATCCAATTTTTTGTACTTACTCTTTAATCTGTGTCTTTCAGATAACATCCTTGAAATGTACCAAAAAACTGGGGTATGAAATGTTGCCAAGAAATGTAAAGGTTCAGCACTCAGAGAATCAGGAATTTGGAAACCAGCATGACTTGGTTGCAGAAAATGTAGAACTCCAGGATCAATGCCCTGTTCGAGATGAGACTGTTGCTAGGAAATTTCGCGTATCTTTGCCTGAGGACAAGTCTCTATCGGTTGCTTTGCATCCTATCTCTTCATCAATTATTTCCAATAATAATAACTGTGAAAAGGTAGAGTTGTATCATAAATCTTCAATGCGCTTTTTGTGTTTCTTTCTCGTGGAGATGTTTGAGTTTTGGCATTTCAAGCTTGTAGGTTTCAAATTTGAATGGTTATATTTGTTTATTAATTTTTTTTCTTTCGATGCTTATTAAATGAAATTTGTAGATTAGAGCTACCAGAGAAGGAAAAAAATGTTTAAGGTTAGAGTTACAAAGTTCAAATAGATCATTTATGCTTTTCGGCACGTTGTATATAGAGACCCATAGGATTACTAGAGAATGTTTTGTCACAAATATAAAGGGGTGACGCAGTGCACAAGGCGCTCGCTAAAGTGGGGTCCAGGAAGGCCAAGATGTACGAACTGTATCCCCATTTTTGGAGAGACTGTTTGCGTGACTCTAACCCATGCCACCAGGGACACTAACGACAGTTTTTACCGTTGGGTCAAGCTGCCTTTATAAGTTTTTGTCACAATCGAATCTCATTTAGTTGAGTTTTGAACCTTGTGGTCAGGAACTATTATCCGTTAATACTCAACCATCCTGATTCGTGTTAGGTTTGATGATTCTGCAAGTGGTTTTTTCATGCCTTCTTAAACTTCCTCTGTCTGTCATTTGTTCTTGCATTGCTTGTTCCAAAACATTTCCTTGTTTTAGTTCCTTTTGTTAGAAAGTAGAGAGAAATTTGCAAAAGCCAAGATTGATTTTACAAATTGCTAATTGGTTTCATTGATGGTCTGGCTTTGGCTTTGATCAGAATGTATTGGAGACCAGGGCATTTCGGCATAGTGCAGAAGAGCATTGTGAAAGTTTTTCTTTCTGTTTGGTTAAGGCATGTTGGTGGGTTCTTCTTGGGGTAGTACTTGGCCGCATAATGCCTTATTTATATGAAAATTTGCTTGGAAATCAAAAGCAGAAACTTTTTCAGCAGCAGGAACAGCAACAGCAGCAGCAAACTCGGAGTTCTTCAAGAAGTGCAGGGAATTGGAGGAAGAGACTCCTCTATCTGTTTGTTGCCGCTGGGGTGATTGGATCTGGTTGGTTATTTTTTCACTTAAATAACGAAATAGCGTTTAGAAGGAAAGAGACACTTGCCAGCATGTGTGATGAAAGAGCCCGAATGCTGCAAGATCAGTTTAATGTGAGCATGAATCACGTGCATGCCTTGGCTATCCTTGTCTCCACATTTCACCATGGAAAACAACCTTCCGCTATTGATCAGGTAATGTTGTCCTCATTGCTTGTTACCTTTTCATTTCTGTCCAAGAGTTGTAAACCATATACAAATCTTGTACAATACAACATAGTTATATGGGCATGTTTGGTGCAACTTTTTGTTAGCTGAAATCTAATAATCAGAAAACCAAAGCCAAAATTACCCCTTCGCTAGGTTTTAGTTACTCAGTTTGTTTCAGCTAATTTAAGCTATTTATGCCTAATAAAGCTGTAAGTAGAAGTTGTGCCAAACAATTTGTCACAAACTCCCAAAATTAGAAAAAAGCTACAAGCATCTCATGTAAGCACTGCAGTACCAAACAGCCCATCTATATTTTGTTGTGGCAGTGATTTTGATCCTGATGATTTCTCTTTAATCCACAGAAAACATTTGGAGAATATACTGAAAGAACGTCTTTTGAGAGGCCACTTACAAGTGGAGTTGCCTATGCCTTGAGAGTTCTTCACTCAGAAAGGAAACAATTTGAGAAACAACATGGATGGACTATAAAGAAAATGGAAAATGAGGATCAAACTCTGGTCCAAGACTGTAATCCTGAAAATTTGGATCCTTCACCCCTTCAAGATGAATACGCACCGGTTATTTTTTCTCAAGAAACTGTCTCCCATATTGTATCTATTGATATGATGTCTGGAAAGGTGTGCTTTCTTTCACTTGGGGGCTTTGTTATTTCTACTTTTTGGGATGAAAATTTTCACTCTCATTAAGCTAATGATTTCAATTTTATCTCTAGTAAACCTGTGTCTGAGTGTAACCAATCAAAATGTATAGGATGATCGTGAGAACATATTACGAGCTAGGGCATCTGGAAAGGGAGTTCTGACATCTCCTTTCAAGTTACTAAAATCCAATCACCTTGGCGTTGTACTGACTTTTGCTGTATATAGCACTCACCTCCCTCCAAATGCTACACCAGAGCAACGTATTAATGCTACTGTGGGGTAAATCAATCTACTCAAAGAAATCTGATTTCTTGTATAAAAATTTATTCCATATGTCTTCTTGGAGTGATCTATGTTTTATTGTCTAATTGATTTGATGGCTGACCTTTCGTTTTCTGTGGTTTTCTTCTTAAAAGGTATCTAGGTGCATCTTATGATGTCCCGTCACTGGTGGAGAAACTTCTACACCAGCTTGCTAGTAAACAGACAATTGTTGTTAATGTTTATGACACAACCAACAAAAGTGCACCGATCAAAATGTATGGTGGTGATGTCATTGATACGGGTCTACTGCAAATTAGCAATCTTGATTTTGGTGATCCAGCTCGGAAACATGAGATGCAATGCAGGTTCAAGCAGAAACCACCTCCACCTTGGACTGCAATAGCAGCATCGATGGGGGTTCTTGTTATCACTTTTCTTCTGGGTCATATATTTGATGCAGCGATAAACCGAATTGCAAAAGTGGAGCAGGATTTTCAGGAAATGATGGAGCTCAAACACCGTGCTGAAGCTGCTGATATTGCAAAATCTCAGGTGCATTTTATTTCTGGCAGAAAGGATAGGAAATTTTGGAGTCATCAAATATACATCTGAAAAATCCTGTTGAACTGCTTCATTTTTCTTCATTTCTTCGTAAAATTTCACGGACAAGCATTATGTTTTCCGTTGTATTTTTCATCATTAGAACTACCTCCCGGTCATCCCCCAAACATGTGATATCATGCAGTATCCTTTAACCAACGTTTTCTTTTTCTTTTGTAGTTTCTCGCAACGGTTTCCCATGAAATCAGGACTCCAATGAATGGCGTATTAGGTGATTAAAAACGTTTTTAGATTCACATTCAGTATTTTACATCATCTGGGTAAAACAATTAACTGAATATAGCTTCAAATTCACATACAGGTATGCTGCAAAGGTTAATGCACACAGATCTTGATGCAAATCAACGGGATTGTGCTGAGACTGCTCATGGTTGTGGGAGAGATCTAATATCGTTGATTAATGAGGTTCTTGATCAAGCTAAGATAGAGTCAGGCAGGCTTGACCTTGAGGATATACCTTTTGATTTGCGTGATGTTCTTGATAAAATTTTGTCACTTTTTTTCATCAAATCTCATGAAAAAGGGATTGAGGTAACAACTAAGTTACTGCCTTATTCACTTGATATGTGTGTGTGTGTGCGTGTGCATACACGTTAATATTTTGTAGGGTAGTTGTTAGAGTTGTCGCTGTAACTTGATATCATTTCTTATATTGACTTTGTTCTTTGTGTTCTTCTTGGGTGAGAGAAGTTGGCTGTTTACGTCTCCAATCAGATTCCTGCAGTTGTTGTTGGAGATCCTGGACGATTCCGGCAGATAATTACTAATCTTGTTGGAAATTCAATCAAGGTTGGTTGTGTTTCAATGGTTCTAGACTTTTACTTTTATGTGGAAAAAAAAAAAACAAAGAAAAAAAAAAAAAGTGCAGGAAATTTATATATATATATATATTTTGTGTTGGTTAGTTGATTGGTTCTAGAAAGGGTATCTTGCCACCCATTACTATGGGAGAGGTGGCAAACCTACCATTTTGCAGAATCCTGATTTCAAGTTTCTTATGTTCATTTGGGTGTTCAGTAAAAGTAGTTCTTGAAAGTAGTAATTTGGGTTCTTGAAGCATGTGAACATATTTGCTTTTGGAAATAGGTTGGAGTTGGACATGCTAGGCATATTCATCTCATATGGAAATATTTCAATGTTATTGGTGGAGAGCTCCATATACATTGTTAGGCCTATTTCGTAACAATTTAAGTTATTGAGACAATTGGTGACTAAGTATCGGAGCTAAGGTTGGGGGAAGTCTTGGGTTCAAGTTTTTCAATTTGCACATGGTTCCCATTTGCATTCTTTCTTCTCTTGTTTGCATTATGTATAGAAGTTTGCATCTCCACGTGCAAGATGGGGTAGCTTGTTAGGGAAACTATTGGAGAGCTTGATATATATTGTTGGGCCCATTTCCTAATAGTTTAAGCTCTTGGGACAATTGACCTAAAGATTATATGGTCCAACTACTGAACTGATAAGAAAATGTAAGAATAATCCACTAGCCAGAGGCATTGGTTTTATTGACAATTTCACATCTTGTGTATTTATCTTGTTAAAAAATTTTGCTTGTTGGTTTTGTGTTTTTGGTTCACTAATTTGTTAGTTTCTGGATTGCAGTTCACTCATGACAAAGGGCATATACTTGTCTCAGTGCATCTGGCAGACGAAGTGAGACTCCCTCTTGATGTTAGGGACGAAGTGCTCAGACAGAGCTTAACCTTAGTCGAAGACTGTTCGAGGAACTCTTATAATACATTGAGTGGTGTTCCCGTGGTTGACAGATGGAAGAGTTGGAAGAATTTTAAAAAATTTAGTTGCACAAATTTGGAGGAGGAAACTGAAAAGATCAAATTATTAGTAACAGTTGAAGATACTGGTGTGGGAATTCCTCAAGAAGCACAATGCCGTATTTTCATGCCTTTTATGCAGGCCGATAGTTCCACTTCACGAACTTATGGTGGGACTGGAATAGGGTTGAGCATTAGCAAGCGTTTGGTTGACCTTATGGGTGGAGAGATTGGGTTTGTGAGTGAGCCTGGCATGGGAAGTACTTTTTCATTTACGGCAGTTTTAAGAAAAGGAGAAACGAGTTCTTTGGATACAATGCAGCAGCAGTATGATCCTGCTGTTTTGGAGTTCCGGGGACTGAGGGCATTGGTGGTTGATGATAAAAGCATCCGAGCTGAGGTCACCAGATATCATCTTCAGAGACTTGGAATAACTGCAGATGTGGCTTTCAGTCTGGATTCCGCATGTGCGTATCTATCTAGTGCCTCCAACTCAAGGTAACATCCCCATTTGGGTTGGCTCTTTTAGTGGCTTTTTTTCTTTTTTGAATTTTTTTTTGTAGAATCTAAAAAACTGATATGTTTTTGGAAGTTGAGTGGCTTTTTTGCTTTGTGAGTGAAAAAATTTGAGTGGCTTTTTGGCTTTTTTTAGTTGATGACACTTTTTTAGCTTTTTGGATTATTATCCAAATATGCCAAAAAGCCACCCTCTCCACTAAGCTTATTTGTGAAAAGCTTGATGGTAGCTTGAAGTGGCAACAAACGTATTGAAGATTTAAGGTTTGATATGCTTCAATTAATGAAGGTACTCAAATAGGAATGATGTGCAGATTATCTTTCTTCCGGTTACCAATTCATCATAATATAAAGGAAAAACCTCAGAAAATTTTCATTCACAACCTTGTGGTGGGAATAAATATGTAGATGATGGGCTGTCCGTATTAGATGGAAAGTAAGGAAAAAATCTACTGTCTTCCATTTCTAAAGAACCAACTTCAAATTGGAAGTAGAGGCTCCATGCATTTATGTTGTTTGGAGAAAGAACAAAAGCACATAATAAAACTTCTGCTTCTTTCGGTGGTGGCGGCAGCGGTGGTGGTAGGATGGTGACAATGGCAGTAGGCTGGTAGGATGGCGGTGGCGGTGGCGGTGATATGGGGGTGGTGGTGGCTGTGGTAAAACTTTAGACTAGAAAACATTTTTCATCTTTAAAAAGTGGAAAATATTTTCTACCTCAATAAGCTTGTTTTCCATTGATCATTAAAAACATTTTTCGTTCAATTTCATTTTTTTTGTCATACCAAATGCCAGAAAATACGGAAAAAAAATTTCTGCCAAAACAAACGGAGTGTTAAATACTGAAGTATATCCATGTGATTAGTAAAAGAATTGTTGTATTATCAGAAAAGTAATTTTAATAAAATGTAGTTGATCTTTGGATTGTGGAATTATGAATAGTTTTTCACAATGTTAGTCACGCTGTCTGTTTTTGATCATGCTAATGACTTTGTTGGTTATAATATTGTCCAGTGTACCATCACATATAGCCATGATTCTTATTGACAAAGATGTTTGGGGGATGGATGCGAGTCTTCCATTCCATCGTCTAATTGAAGAGCTCAGATCAAATGGCAGAAAGGAAGTACCAGAAAGATTGCCAAAGATATTTCTATTAACAACCTCCATAAGCAATACCGAGCGCAATGAACTCAAATTAGCAGGTTTAGTAGATAATGTGCTAATGAAGCCTCTTCGATTAAATATGCTAATTTTCTGCTTTAAAGAAGTGCTTGGAATTGGGAAGAAGAGGCAACGAAATAGAGGAAAACCCTTGACTGGAAACCTTCTTAGAAACAAGCGAATCTTGGTGGTGGATGACAATGTTATTAATAGAAAAGTGGCTGAAGGTGTTCTAAAGATGTATGAAGCAATTGTTACCTGTGTAGATAGTGGAAAGGCTGCTTTAGAAAAGCTTAAGCCACCCCACAACTTCGATGCTTGCTTCATGGATCTCCAAATGCCGGAAATGGATGGGTAATAACTTTGTCTCTATTCTAAATCTTTCTGATTTTCCTTAGATACTAGTGCAAACAATACCATTGAATTCTAGCAAACTTGTGGGAAAATTGCATTTAAATGGAAACAACTCAAAATTTTCATGGAGGTGCAAGTCAGAGCAAGTTGTCCCATGCCACAACTTTCACTTGCACCAGACATAGGTTTACTCGCATCGCACCTCTATGAAAGTGCAATTATTGAGTTGTTTTACTTGCACCGGATGCAGATTTACTTGCACCATATTGAGTTGTTACCATTTAAATACAATTTTCCCTTTAAGTTTTGCATCATATTTAATCCATACCATCATGTAGGACAGGTTTCCTGTTTGATTATTGCACATATGGTGTTGATAAGTTTCACCTTTGATTATTGCTTGCAAGTATAGGAATGTGATTTATATATTGTTTGACTCTAATCATACAGTTTTGAAGCAACACGGAAAATACGTAGTCTTGAGCGTGAGGTTAATGAAAGAATTGAATCTGGTGAAGCAACTATCGAGATGTTTGCAAATGTGGCCCATTGGCACACGCCAATATTAGCAATGACAGCCGATGTGATTCAAGCTACTAATGAGGAGTGCATGAAGTGTGGTATGGATGATTATGTGTCCAAGCCATTTGCAGAAGAACAACTGTATTCAGCAGTGGCACGATTCTTTGAGTCTGGTTGATTTGAGTGGGAAGGTGACTAATATGGAAGCAGTTGTTCATTGGAAGTGTTTAATCTGAGTTATTTTGGATTAAATCCTAAAGCAATTGGTCTATCTATTGACATCCTCCACCACTATGAGGTGTTATGATAGACCCTTCCATCTGCATTCTTTTTGCCCTTCCTTATATGGTAATTTCTTAACATTACACGTGTAGATGCTATGTTGTAGGCTAAGAAGTTCAAATATTTCTTGGCAATGTGTCTGTCCGATGAAGGTGTCGGACAAGTGTCAAACACTAGCACTTGTTAGACACTTTCAAACACATGTCAAATACAAGTCCTATTGTTTTTTGATAAAATTTGACTCGAATGTGGTTTGGGGGCTTTGGAAACATTTGCGGGCTTTGGAAACATTTGCGTCCATTGCTTACACACATAAAACACATTGCAAGGTTAAATAAAATAACTTTGGATCTAATGATAAAAAAAAAAAACATTGTAGATTTATTCCTATTACTCCATTATCTTTTAAACTATAGACATTCTAGTTATGTTATATATATATATATATATATTTTTCTACATTTTGAATGAGATATTCATTTATATGTATAATAAATATAGTAAATCATATATTTTGCATGTTTTCCTTATGTGTGCCTTGCTTTTTTTGAAAATTATCATGCTCGTGTGTCTGTTCTTCTTAGGCTCTAGGTCTTGAATCTCCATCAATACCACACATTTTACAATTTCTTGTGTTCTGATGAACCCTTGAACTCTTAGTGAGGTGTAGGGGTTTTGGTCTACTGGGGTAGCCCCCAATTTATTATCCAGCGAACAATTTTCAATTTATGCATGGATGCTTAATGACGTTTTCTTTTTTTGTTTTTTGTTTTCAGGAGTGGTAGGTTATGATCATAACTGGTTCATGATGCATAGATGAGGCTGGGAAAGAAATTGACGACTTTTGCCTAATTTGTCATCGTTCTTCACCACACGATCACTTGCCGGGTACAAAATAAGAGAGATGGGGAAAGTTTGTATATAACCGGTTCCGTTTGATGCGTCTCTGTGCTCTATATTCTTGTACCTTGTTTTCTCCATTCTTCCTTGAAGCAAGTTTAAGCATAAAAAGTAAGTAATGAAATGAAAGATTCGTCTTTCGTCTTCTAGAGATTTTGTGGAAGGATCAATGCCACTGTCACTGCGACTCTGAGAGGGTGATAGATAAAATTTTCATTTATTGAGATTCAAATATGGTTATTTATTCACCCAAAAAAAAAAAAATGGTATTTTTGGACATTATATTGCTTTATGTTCATATTAACCTAAAGAAAAGAAGTGAAGATTATGTACAGGAGGCCCTCTTTCGATAAGATTTGGTTAGCATTGTAAAAATGCCTTTAAGATGTGAAATCTGTGTAGGATATTTTGTATTCAACCTGGTTTTGGCTATTGTGCTGTCTAATGACCTTGTGTTAGTATCTCACTTTTCTTGTAATTCCTTGTTTGCTGAAAATCTTTATGGGATTCATTGTAAAAAGAATTGTAACATATATAAACACATATATTTGGTGTTATATGCAAATGGTAATATTATATAAGTTTATGTGCAAATTTGACTTCACTGATAATCCATCTATATATTACAGGATATTTGTGTTGGTGCAGTGTAATCTTCCTGATTAATTGCATGACTAAAGTTGTATTTGGATCATGGATTTGAATAGGAATTTGAAAATAAAAAAAAGTAGTATTGGATACTTTAAATGATCATATAGTATTGGATAAAAATACATTTTATCATCCATAAATTAAAACTATTCATTTTGTGTTTGCTTTAGTTCTACAAATATCAAAATTTAGGGTAAAGTTTTAATCCAATTGGTCAAATTATTCTGTTAATGATTTAGATGAGAGGTTTGAAATTTGACTAATGAATCAAATGAAATTTTGATGATTAAATTAACAAAATTAAAATTATAAAGATTAAAGTGATACAAAATATGCATGTTTAGATTTAATATTTAGGCACACTAAATGTAAAATTATAGTAAAATACCAAATAATTATTGCATTTTATTTGAGATATCAAAATTTTTATAACATACCCGAACGCTTTAAATTTTTTTTGCAAAGAGATGAAAAAAAACAATTTTACAAAAAACACCCTTTCATTCTTCCCCTTCCTCTTTTCTTTTCACACAGAATAACATAATGTACATTCAACTGTTTGAAAGTCTGTCCATTCCAAGCCCCTCCCCTACCACCCTTAGCTGCCAACACCTCCTTTCGCCTTTTTCCGCACTCTCCCACCCATTCCAACATCATCAAACGTATTTTCTCTCCACATATGGCAACAACATCCCTTACTCTTTGTTGCTCATTCTTAGCTTTCTTTCTTTTTTCGCCTTATTTACCTCAACATCTACAAACTCATCTCTTCTCCACAAATGGCGATGTTATAGCGATTTCGGTATTCCCTTTACTGTTCAGTTGCATTCTGGATTCGGTTCCGTGGAGTTGGTAGTTGTGTCTACTTTGTTGTCATCCTTTAATTCCATTTGATTGAGTTTTAGGATGTGTTGGGCATGTTTCAAGCAGGAGGGTTGAGCCCTGGTCAAATTTCTTGTTGCCAGGTTTTTGGTTGTTCCGCTCGAGCGAGTCGTCTAGCGTTCGAGCGGAGATTGCACACTCCCAGTATTTTCGTGCTCTGCAAAACTTCTGCAGGTGTGATTTCTACGCTCGAGCGGATTTCCTGCGCTCGAGCGGGCTTGTTGGCGCTCGAGCGGGTAGTACTTTTTTGGTGTAAGTTCTAGGAGGGAAAAATCTACGCTTGAGCGGACTGGTTTTCACGCTCGAGCAGATGTACTTTATTCTTGTGTCTTGGCGCTCGAGTGGGCCTTTTTGCGCTCGGGCGTGTCTAGATTTTTGTGCGTGACGCTCGAGCGTCCTGTTCTCCGCTCGAGCGGGAATGTCGTATATCAGAAGGCAGTTAGGCATTTTTGAGTCACTTTTTACATCCTTACTCTCTCTCTTACTTTTCAAAGACGCCATTTGAGAGCTTCTCTCTCTAAAACCTCCACTTCTCTCTAAGTATTGATCTAGTAGGAGTTGTTTTCTCACCTTTGGCCTTTACAAAAAGGTTGTTGATCGTCGAGGGCTATTTTTTGATCCGAGAAATTTGTGATTTGGAGCATCTTCATTTTCGTCATCTCCTTCGTTGGGTTTCATCTTTTGAGGTAGGGATTCCTACTCACTCTTATGGGTTTTGACCTAGATTTTTGGGCACTTTGTTAAATGGTTTGGTTTTGAGATCTAGGGTTTCAAAATGTATAAAAGAGGGTTTGTTATTTTGGTTCTAAAATGTGTATTTTGGGTTCCAAAATATTGATATTGTTGTTGGTTGTTGATATTTGGACTCTTGGGTCTATATTGGGAAATTGGGTAGAAAACCCTAATCTGTTGTATAAATTAATTGGTATAATTAATTTGAAAAAATTGTTGTTATTTGGAATTGAGTTGGAAATAATGAAATTGGCTCATTATATTGTAGAATGGTAGAGTTGGATTTATTAATCACTTATTCTTGAAAACATTGATATTTTATCTGTTGGAGCTTTTATTATCTGTTTATAAATAATTGCTTTGGGCTACCGGTGGAGGGTAGTTTTGATTGTTGTAGACAATGCATGATGATTAGGCAAACTAAAACTAATCAAGTGGATGTGTCATATAGTATGACGGTTGATAGAATACATTAACGTTATGTATTGATTGATTGTGTATATGACCTTTATGTATGTACGTTGTGTGTATGAGAGGAGATAGAGGATGTACTCCACGGTTTAGGGGAAGATAGGGGATGAACCTCTAAACCGGTTGTTGTTTAGGAGAAGATAGGGGATGGACTCCACTGATACAGCTCATATGCTTGTCAGTTAGTGTGTTGATATAGCTCATATGCTTATCTATGGAAGTGTTGATATAGCTCATATGCTTATCTATGGAAGTGTTGATATAGCTTATATGCTTATCTGTGGAGGTGTTGATACAACTTGTATGCTTATCTATTGCGAACTGGGAAACGTTTAATATGAATTATTATTTCGGTTAGAGTGTGTGGCCAGGTTCTGAGCCATGGGTATAAATTTGGGAATTGGATAAGAAATGGAAAATGAAATGAAACATAGACATAGTGGTCATGTAATGGAAATGGTTTTATGAATTGATTTATGGGAGTTAAACATTTATCAATTGCTAATGTCTTAGTTACTGCTCATATTGTGTTTAGCATAGCTCTACTTGGCGTTGACTCACCCTATATGGGACATTATTTTCAGGTACAGGTAGCATGTCACCTCCAAGGACATAGCTTGGATGGTTATGGGAGTTGAAGACTCTTTTTGATTATTTTGTTTGTATTATATGTATATCAAGCCAATGGCTTATTTTGTATAGAGTTAGTACTCTTCTTTTGTGTAACCAAGTGTTAACTTGGAAAGCTGTAAGCCTGTAGGGCATTTGCTTTTGTTGTTAACATGTAATACTGTTGTAAGAACTACTCTGATGAATGGAAAGGCGTTGATTTTCTTATATTACTGCATGTCTGAATGATGGGTATTATGTTTTTTTTTTTTTTGAGGGCATTACAGATGTCGTCCCCCATCCTTCGTTGTTCATTCCTATCACACCCCAAATTCCGTGATAACGCCACACACCTATCTAATTGAGCATAGAAGGTTAAGAGTCCGATCAAATAAACCACCAAAATAAAATACTCAAAAGAAATCTTTAATTATCATAATGTCAGAATCTATAAATAATAAACAATCCTTATCATATGAAATTGTATCCATCCCTAGGAGATAGTGACATCCCTAGGCTATTTTATGGTACAGAAGATATTATGGTACTTCAAACCAATACCTATAATAGAACTGAATATGAAAATATTGTTGAAATATTGGATTATTGGAGAAAATTATATAAAGACCCAGATTTAGGTATTGATGAAAGAAATATGCTACTAGATCAGATAAGAGAAACTTATCTAGAAAATGAAACCCTTTTACAACACTTTAATTATGATATTAATATGTCAACTAATGATGATGACAGCCAATCATCCTCATCTGAAGAATCAATAGATCAAGATATTTCATCAGAAATAAATAAAGAGAAACGAAAGGCAGAAGAGCCAATTGATCCCGAATTATTTGGCACATGGGAAGAGGGGGAAAATTTTGACTTTATTCAAACAAATGAAGTTAAAAATGATAATAACATTGGAAGTACCTCCAATCCTACACCTGAGCCAGTGATATCTAGAAAAGATAATAATCATAAGTATCCAATAGCTCAAAATGGTACTTATTTAGACTTGTCTTATGTTCCATTTAAGGATCAACCACAAGCAATAGATGATTGGGCACAATCCTTGTCCATCATTATTACCAACTATAAAAATAGCTGGTCAAAGGAAAAATTTCTTGATTATATTGCAGCAACTCTCCAGGAAGATGTGTTGCAATGGTTAAGACAGTAGGAAAAATCTGAAATTGAAAAAAGTCAAAAAACGGCTTTGTTAACAAATTTTCTCACCCTTGACACAATTTTAGCTGAATTTACAAAAATCATAAAAGAAAATTTATGTGGTTTTGCAGGAGATACTAATTTGCAAGCAGATGCAAATTATATTTTGACTAAATTAGAATTATGTAATATTTGTCTTTTTGAAGATTATGTTCAAACTTTTAAAAAATATTATTATCTTATTGATCCACCAGCAAATCAACCATGGTTAGATCAATTTTTTCATAAACTCCCTAATCCATGGGATGAGTTATGTATTAAAACATATCCTGATTTTCTCAAAAAAATGGGGAAAGAAGAATATGATAATCTTGGTTTTCGCATTAATTATGTTCTAAGGCTGATAGCAGATCGGTGTCTAGAAGCAAAGGCGAAAAAACAAATAAAAAATCAAATTTCTAACTCACTATATGGTAAAAAATGTTGTGATAAAATTTTAAAAGAAAATTGGAAAATTGGAAAATTGGTTGTAATACATTTCCTAAAAGAAAAGGATTTTCCAAAAAGCATAGAAAATATAAATGGAAACCTTGGAAAAAGAACAAAACTTTTTCAAAAAAGAAAAAGTATATTCGAAAAAAGAAACCAACAAGTGTTTCAAAAAAGAAAACTTGTAAATGTTACATTTGTAACGAAGAAGATCATTATGCACCTGAATGCCCAAAAGGGGGAAAAAGTGTAAAGAAAATGATCAAAGTCCTTGAAGAACAAGATTTTGAAATAATATATGGAGAAGAAATTTCTGATTAAGAAGAAATCTTATATGAAATTTCTAGTGATGAAGAAAGTTCAAATGAAGAACTAATCTTCATGATGACTAATAATAGTCAAGAAATATCTCAAGAAGCAAATAGTATATCTCAAGAAGAATTACAAACAATTCGACTTGGAGATGTAATCGGAGAAGAAAAAACTTTTACCGACGAAGAATTAGCAAAATTTGAAAAAATGCAAGAAGTTGCTGTTCCAGAAATTTACAAACTTTCAAAATTTAACTTCTTTTCAGCAAGAGTGTTTGAACA